CTTTATGTAATATTATAAATATAATATCTAATAGGTATCTTAATAATATAATACTATTTCCAGATATCAATATTATGATATTATGTTAAATAGACGATTTAAAAATTATAATTTATGAATACTATAAATTTATTATTTTATTGTTTATAGACAAAGTTGCTTATAGATAACAAGTTAAAGAATATGAGAATAATTGTCGAGTGGATATCATACGTTAGAACACCAACGACCAATACTTAATTCAACTCTTCTTCCAAACACATTTTCTGTATATCTAAGACCTAAGTAACTTATAASACACAATAAAATCATCAATAATGCTTTGAAAAGATATTTTTATTTATTTATTTATTTAAACAACATAATACAAGTTTCGGTCATCAATAGGTTTCTAATAAATGTGAGTATGTGACTTATTAACACATGAAAAAATTCTTTGACCACGTCTTGAGATGMTTTCACTGACCTCTGCAATTCAAGTATAAAATATTATCATAATGCTACTTCTCTGTTGAACTAATATGAATTTCAATATTTTGTGAATAAGACTATATGTATATAGTGAGTATATAGTTACCGGATTTATAGTATATTACAGAGTAATTTCGAGAAGGGAATTTAATATTTTATTTAATAAAATAATAACAAATTAATTCAATACAGTACAATTTCAACTCGACGGTCGTTCCAWAGAAAATAATTAACAATTAATTAAAGTTCGCATTACAAAKATCTTAAAGATTTAAAATTGAAGACTCGATTCTCAAAAAAATACCTACTGCAAAAACAAAAAATAATCTACCTACCTAGCTGAATAGCTTACAGGAGACAGATTAATTAAATATGTAATCAAGAATTATAACAAATCTGTTTTATRTTTGTTTGATTTTGTAGTTAAATAAAAAAAGAAGTAAAAAGCTAGAGTGGTGCTATAATTGTTTCTGGCATTTACATAATACACAGTCAATAGCCAGGTGTGGGGAGAGGGAAATTGCGACAATATGTTGTCACTCTACTATACTGTAGTCTATAAGAATTACTGAACGAGTAATCTTAAGTTAGGTTCTTTCAGCGCCAGTCCCACATCTAATAACGCAACATCAAAAACTATTTTTGGAGAAAATGCAGATATAAGATTATTGCGAGGAGAAGGATTAGAGATTTAACGTAAGTAAATTCAAAGGATTTGTTTAAAACATTTTAAAGAATGTGACATTATTAGTAGGTACTTGGGATTCAGGTAACAAAGAAGACAATAATATTTCTTTCAAGTTCATTCAAATTTTAGATTCTGAACAGAGCCATGAGTTTATTGATTTTACAATGATGAGTGTATGTTTTTGCTTTTGTGCGTGTCTGTAATATACACAATAACGATTAACAAGTCRAAGGAATGATTCGATATTCAACTTCAATAACTTTTCTGGTGAGAAAKTAAATCTAGTTAGTTCATTTAAGAGGTCAAAATTTAAAATTTCCAGATAAAAACATAAGTGAATTAAGGAAAAACGGTAAATCTTACACAAAATCAGTATACCTATTTTATAAAATTGATTTTGTTTTATTGATTTAACTCAAAAACGAATAACTGTAAATACTTGAAATTTTCATAAAATGTTCATAATATATAACATTTTTTGTGCATGATGAAGTTTTTAAAATCTTTTTACTCTATTAATAAGGAATTTATAGGCTTAAGCAATATTCGATTTTTTAAATTTATATTCGAAAAAAATATTGGTTGCTGGTCATACAACCTAAAAATGTAATAAAAAGTTTCTCATAATTTGCATTAGTGTAGTTAAAAAAAAACCGGGTAAATGGATGTCGCTCTGCTGTACATAAGGTGGTGGGGTGGACCACTGACTAGGGTAGGT